CTGAACGGTTCGATTGAAAATAGGTTTTCTTCAGTCAGGGTTTCCCCTCGATATTTCTTAGATCAACTCTGTGTATCTTTCAACCCATGTACATTTGAAAAAGAAAAGTCCACTGGATCCGTAAACCGAGTAACTTTCAAGTGAAATAACTACGAAATTATATAGGTATACGTCGACGCAAAAAATATTTTTATTTTTGGAAGAAACGTTTCTTAAAAAAATGTGTTGTATATGAATGGAAATGCCAAAACTAATCGATACAAATTTGTGAGCGTCAAGTAAAGAACAGTACAAAAATGTTTGTTTGTTCGTTCTTTGTATACTAATACTCCCTCTGCCCCCTGTCGCCATCGAAAACGTCTGGAGCCATAAAAACATACGTTTCCCATCGATCATTTGCGCGTTATTAAGAAATATTTCATTTTGTTCCTCTCTTCAGCGCCCGTTAACCCTCTTTTTGTTTCGTTCTTTAGCTTGTTTCGTGACACAAAAAGAGCTGGATGGCGAAAAAACGACGAAAAAGTCTCGGAACGGGGGACGAAAGAGGAAAGGAGCCATACAGGGTGTCTCGAAAAAGAGCTACTCACGAGGCCATTCTTTATACTCGACTCGGGTTGGAAAAAAGTATGTATGCAGGTGCGGAAACAGTCCAGCGCTATGCCAAGGCACCGGAGAATTGTTTTTTCCTCATTCTTTAGAGACGCGTTTAACTGTTTATTCTTCCCGTTTCTCTCTTTCTCTATTTATTTCATCTTTTATTCTCTAGGAACACCAACTACGCCTACACACTCCAACAAGACGGTCGATTTTGCTTAATATCAAAGGAGCCCTCAAACTGACCGTCTCGCCGAGAGTGGAAATATCATCAGGTTCTCTTGGCTACACTTCAAAATAGACCGCTTCTTGAGCCTCTCATCTGTTTAATCACTCAAAAAATCGTACGCCGAACTTTTGAAAAATCACTCTCGCTTCCTTATGTTCATTTCTTATAAATCGTAAAGCTATTTGTCAATAATCTCATCGTGTAGTCCATTCCCATGTTCCCAAGAACATTTGATATCTTTCTCTCACGGTATACATGGAACCTACGCTCTTCACATGTAAATGCTTCCTTTTTGTTATCTTTCACAGGCTCTTTCTCTCTCTAGCATTCCATGTCCACCTTAACCTTTCACTCGCATTATATACGCACGGATGAGCATACACGTGCATAGCACACACAGAGGCAGGCATACACACACTCGGACGCATTCTTCACCATCTGGCACACGGTTTTTTATGCTTTCTTCGCCGACGTAGTAATTTCTTATTTTTCTTGTATACAAACTTACTCGCTAAACGTATAACCTATGGTGTACTCTCTGTTCTTTCCTCTTTACGGTTACAAGTACATGGCGGTGGAGTATTTCTTTTTTTTTTTATATAATAATACAGCTCATTCTTTTATATATATATATATTTTTATGTATATATATATATATATATATATATATAATATATTTTTAGTACATCCTTATACTTGAGGTCTGGCGGATCCTGAATTTTTCATATTACTTGCTAGAACGTATGACGCTAGAAACATGATGCGGAAGAGATACATAATGAGGATTCTATGGAAGAAGACTAGTATCATAGCTTGAAACAGATGTAATAGGTTGGGGAAACAACTGAGATTTTAGTTATAAAAGAAAACAGACACATTTATACAGGATGCTCGTCGTAATAGTATACATTTTATATGGTTTTAAGTATTTCTGATTGTTTAGTAAAACAAGAAAAGGGTTGTACTTGAACTTCTGTTTAGAATGATAAATTCTAGTGAAAAAGGTTTATAATCCTTCTTCTGAAGAAATGTTACTTGTCACCTTGAGTTCTTTACATGAGACATAGTATTTGCAATTGTATAGCGTTAGAGCTGACTACTATCTATTTGTACTATTTGCACTGAAGGTAAACATGTAATTATAGTATACAAACATATGTATATACAGTGCTGGACAAAATTGTAAATATTCGATTGTAACAATTATCTGGTATTCTTATTTCTTGATATTTATGTTGGTTGTAATAAAAGTACGATTTTTTTAAGAAATTCTCTTCAAGAAAGAACACAATACAGTGATGTCCGAGTATATGTCCGGGCGTTATCCCCAACAATCCGCAACAACGTGATTCAACTGGTATTGAATTACCGGAATAAGAAAGATATATATTTTTATATTTTTATTATATTGTTACCAAATGGCTTTAGTCGGATTATTGAGATTCGTACGATGAAAATGATACCAAACATGACTATATTTCTATTAACTTTGTATTAATTTTAAGCTAAACGGGTAATATTTAATTGACGAAGTCGAAGGTTTTGATATAAATGATATAGTTCTTATGTACATCTTAAATTAGAATATATTTAAAGCGTTTAATAATAATAATAACAATAAAAATAAGAATAAGAAATAATAATAAAATAGTAATATTAGAAAAATTTCATTTGTTCTAATATAATAACGAAAATAAAATTAAGGATAAAAAGCGTGAGAAAGAAATTACAAAACAAAATTAGCAATAAAAAAAATGAGAAAAAGAAATTAAAAAGCAATAGATATAATATATACTAACGAAATTATTTTTGATTGAAATCATCTATCAGAACTTTTGTATGAAATTTAATATATTCAGGTTGTGTTAGCCCCCTATTCCAGATTACGAAACATATTGTCTATCTCTTCATCCACTCTATGTACCACGTTTAAGTTACCCATATATCCTCTGTTTCGTCTGTTGATCCTATACTATCGTTTACACTGGATTCTGCCCTTTCGCATTCCATAACCAACTCCGTTATTTCCTCTTTATTCAGATTGTGATACTTTAGTTTTATTATAGAAATGACATTCAAAAAGTATACAACTGTATTTTCTGTCGAGTTTAAATAATATTTATAAAATATTTTATTCCAATAATACCAAAACCTGGTCGCAAATTGATTGAATTTTCTCACAGTTGTATTCTTCTAACCATTTTTTAATAAGAACTAAACTAAACAAATAATTTTTATGACTGATGAATGATCTAGTCTACACTATTCTACACTCTACCTATTCTGTCTTACTCGCTCCTACCTGTGACGCAGGCACGGCAGAATGAACCGGTATCAGATAACAACGACCAATTCTTGAAACTCCACCTCTCTCCACATATATGTCCAGGCTGTGGCCCGAGCGGTGAACATATACGCGAACATCACTGTACTCAATAACTACTATGTATATCTATAGTATTACCCAAGTTTGCACATGAAAGAAATTTGTTCTACCGAAGTTATTATAGTCTTGTCCAGTACAGTAATTACTAAGATTGACTATATATTATCAGTACATTATCAGTGTGAATACTGAGGTTCAGTCGTTTTAAGGTCATAATTTATAGATTATTGATCTCATTCTTGTATCAATTGTAAACTCAAGGTGATTTTGAACGTTCCATGAAAGAAGAATAAACACGTTCGGTGTTCTTTTCCTATAATCTGTTCGCAATTCTAAACATGCACACTTCCGAATACAGTACACTCCTTCCATTAAGACTGTAACAAGTACGTAAAACAAGTTTGTATACCGTTGCGATGAACATACTGTACAAACATTCACGCTTCAACTAGTAATGAAAAATATATCGACAATAGATTTTTATATATTTCCTATGTTATTATTTTTTTTTCTCATTACAAAATACTTTATTTATTTTTGTAATAAATAGCGATGGATCTCTGGAACGCGTCGTTCTCCCAACGAATATGAAGGATTCCATTTCTCCTTTCTTTTCTCTTACTCTGTCTTTCTCTCCCTCTAGTATTAGCGCATCACATTCCTAACTACGTGTATATGTTTTGCTTTCTTTACTCTTTTATTTTATATCACGCGAATACATATATTCAACGTTGTCTTGTTGTGTTGTTACGTACAACAGTTAAATGTTTATGTCACTTATGGCAAGAAATGGTATCGGCGAAAGGAGCTCGAACAAAATGGCACGATAAATAATACTAAATGTTGTATGAGGTTAAAAAAATAAAAGAAAAAAGAAAATAGGGTCAGACAAGTTAGACAATCGATAGACAAATGTCATTTGCCCGAAACGATCACAGTCCGCGAGGATAACTTTCCAGGTGTGAATAAACACGAGGAAAAAAAATAGTACCTTCAATTGCACGATTGTTTGAACATGACCGTACATGTACGTACAATATGAAAAAAAAAAAAAAATAAACGAGGACAATATCAGAAGTACGTTTTGTGTTCTAACGAAAATCCTTATCAACGTAATCAGTGCTCAACGAAGGTTAAAAAGATTTAACGAAAAAATATGTATAAAAACAATGTAAAAAACGAAATATAAAAAAACGTATCGTAAAATATAAAATACTGTCAACTTTTTATATTATTAGCGAAATTATAAAAATCGCGAAATAAAAACTTTTATGGACTAAATTATTGCCACATTTTCAGCTGTTTTGCAATGATTTGCTACAACATTAATTAAATCCAACTAACATAAAATTTTCGATTAATTTAGTATTTTGTTTCTAAATAACCACACGATTAATATTTTTGAAAATGTTCAACACAGTCAACACAGATAGATATTACACATTAATCGGTGGGATGTCATTTGCATCCTTATGTACGGACCTCCCTTCGCACAATTTATAAAAATTTATAGTGTTACTTGTATACAACGGTGTTAAAGGTAAACAATAAAAAAATAAACTTACAGAAATCTGAACGACGTAATTGTGATTCATTTCAATGTAATAAAAAAAAGTGTAAAATATCTTCCATCATATTGTATTTGTCAATAAGCTTCAATAGCTTACTTAGCTTCTTCGTGTTTAACACTAAGCCTTCATAAAAATATGTTTTGTTTTCCACACATACAGTATGGCAAGACTCTTATATCAGGCTCTATTCTAAACGCTTCTAGAGAAAATTATGGTTTCCTTTCGTGTGTGCATGAAAATACCCTCCATGTCCTTTTTCTATTTTTGATCATGTACATTATATGTATTATATATATGGCACACTTTTGAGATAAGATCTACGTGTAGACATGTCAAAACCATACCCAAAATGTAGGTAGGAATAAAACTGTGAATACGGTTGAAATCTTATGTAAAACGTCACAGCTTTTGCACTATTGTACTAGGACATAGAGAGTCGGCGGCATCATGAATAATTGTCATGCTTGTAGAAAACTCATTGAAGCCCAAAATCATGAAAAGCAGTGAAGGATTCACTGCTAACAGCGCTCGTATAATTTTTTCAGTGTTACCTCTTGACTGAGGTCTTTCCCTGATCTCAGAAATCTTTAACGTGTCCCAAAAAACTGAGCTCGTGCGTTTGATAATGGCTGGACGTAGCGAGTGGTGTAACGCTTGATTGATGCGCCACGTTGACCGCCGTCAAATGATGGTGATGCAGTGAATGATGAGAAGTATGTGTATGAAGGATGTTATTTGGATGGGGAACTTGAAAGTTCCCTGGTGGCGGGGCTCAGGACAGGAGAGGACCTGGATGTCCACCAGACAGGACAGACGATGCGGTAACAGCTGTAGTCTGCATATTCGAAACACTGTTTTGTTGCTGACTTTGCTGTGTACCTAATAAATAAGAAAGTTGTATAAGTGTACAGATAAAATATTATCTTCGAATTCTTAGAAATGTAAATAGGGGTAGTCAATACAAGATTTTATAACTTACCAGCATTCTGACTAAGCTCGGCTTTCACTCTTCTTGCAATGTGGCTTCTGGTATGTTTCCTTAAATGATCCTTGCGATAGAATCCTTTTCCGCATTCTGTGCATACATGTCGCTTTTCTCCAGAATGTATAACAAAATGTAAAGTTAATTGTTCTTTTCTTTTGAATGCTTTCAAGCAAACAGTACACACATACGGTCGTTCTGGATTATGACTCTGTTTGTGACGTGTAAGATGATCCTTCCTTTTTAGACCTGCGCCACAAATATCGCACACAAATCTTCGTTCCAAAGTATGGCCTAGTAGATGCTGTTCCAATAATTCACGTTCAGGGTATGCCATGTGACATTCTGGACAGCAATACAATGTAGAACCATCTAAAGCTGTTGTTAAACGAATTTCACCAGGTTTTGGACGCGGTTTCTTTTCCTTTGGAGCCTTCTTCTTTTTTTTCTTCTTATTATTAGGTGACATCATGATATTAGGTGTTGTTGTAGTTGCTACAGCCACCGATGTTGTCTGAGCCATTTCTGACTCTTTTTTAATACTTTCTGCAGAATACTTTAAAAAATGATGCAAACTGAGTGGTAAAGTACTAGCCGGTAAGTGACTGAGGTAATCCGCCACTGTGGATCCAGGGGTAGCCAAAGATTGCCAAGTAGCAGGCATAGTTGCGGGAGTTTGAGTATGAGCATGCTGTTGATGATGTTGATGCATCGTATAATCTTGTTGGCTTCCATTAGTTGTGCTTTCTCCATTGCGCTGTTGTTCATCTGTTTTCTTGTCCTTATTTTTGTCTTTATCCTGTAGGAGATTGCAAACGTCTTGTTGATTTATCGTTTCTGTTGCTTGCTGAAAAGTTTTAGTTACAGTAATGTCTATGTGCTATAAATGTTCACAAGTACTCTCAGCGCTCACCACTTACCTGATGATATGAACGCTTTTCTTGCATTCCAGGCGAATTTGAGGGCCGCTGTTGAACCGGTTGAGCTTGAGAGTATGGTACATTTGGATAATGATGAACATTGCTGTTGGGATAGCTCGCTTTATTATTCATCATTACTTGCGACTGAGCAGACTGTACACCGTTGCTCTCAGGACGATACTTTCCCATAACCGGCACTCCAATAGGAGGCTGGTTGGGGAAATGATTAGCGTAGCGCCCACCCGCACCGCCGGAGCCGTCGGTCGCGAACTGGTGGATACTCGGAATAGTACCGGGAAAGTGGCCTCCGAACGGCGGGAAATTCATTGCAAACCGTCAATCAAATACCTGAAAAATCGAAAAAAAAAAATCAGGGTTGGCATAATTACATGCGGCAGCAATACTTTATCCACTGCAATTTTCTGGGATAGTCCCGAAAGTAATGATTCGTCCATTAATCAACATCCTTCACCATTTTGCCAACAATTTGTAAGTACGTTCTATTATTACTACGTATGTAACATACACTAACGACAATTGAACAAATTGTAGATGTCAGCCGTTGACATGTGCTCGAAAGGTGCATCGCTACCGCTTAGACAAAGATCGTGGTATCGTCCGAATGAGGAGATCAGGGATGCGTGGGTAAATTCTCAGCAACATCGGCGGTAATAATGAAGACATTCACGCGTATTCATGATACACCGCGTCAAGATATCTAACGCGTCCTGCTTAAACGACGCCCGAGTATTTACTCACAGCGACGTCCCTCTCCCCATGTTTCTTTGCCGTAGAATCAAATCCTTTCCTCGGACGGGGGGGTCTCCGAGAGGTGTAAGTGCGAGTGTAGGGGCAGATTTTTGCAGCACAAGATAAGCACAATAGAAACACCGAACACCACGCTACTATCGCCACCGCTGCGTCAGTCGTCTGTCACGATGAAGATACACACGGGATACAGTAGTTTTTCCCTTCTTAAAACCGTTCGATTCTTTCGAAACGCAATTATTCACAGAGATCACTGAATAACCGTTCGCGTTCGTATAACGAGGATCACGGCCAGTTTAGACGGCTATAGAAAGGGGGTACAACACGGAAAAAAGACGTTAAAAAACGAACATTGTACGCGGCCAGGATCGTCGCGATGCGGGGGAAGGGTGGCCGTAGAGGGACGGGCAGCGCGGAGAACGGGATCGGAGGACGGGAAGAATGAAGGAGAGAACAGGAGGAGGGAGACGTAGGGGGGATGATCTGGCCAGAGGGATGGGTAGCGTGCGCACAGTGGGATGAAGTGCGAGGGGAGAGATCCCGAGACTTTCCCCTCACGGCACCTAGTCGATACGCGGGGGCCGAATTCGCACGAAATTCAGCAGAAAATGGCCGTACCAAACACCGTGGACATGACGAATCTCGGTTTACTACATTCGAAAATTCGTGAAAAAATCAACTTACCATTTAGTACTTAGCAGCCCGCGCTCGCCTGGTCACAATTTTCACGAAGCTGAGAATCTCCGAAAAAAAATCCCCCGCTCTATGTGTGTGCCGTTGACACCTGTCCCTCAAGTCGGCGCCCCCACCCCATCCGTCCGCCCTCTACTGTGCCAGCCTCTTAACTATTTTTTCTCTCTCCCGGCGGCCCTCCACGCCAACCGCGCCGGCGAAAATGCCCGAATCCATCGGGGTTTTAACTTCGAATCGCTCCCGGCGACCTGCCATTATTTTCTCTCTGAGCGCATTACAGTCAATGGAAATCGGCGATACGTATACATATATGTATACCATGGAAATGAAGGAGTATCATCAATAGGAGGAAAAAAAATATAATGTAAACCTGAACAACCAATGCATTGCTATTCTCTCGTAATTGTGTACTCTTGTAATTAACAATTAATGTTGATTATTGATTACACAATTGCACTGAAACATAAACTTACAAAATTTCTAGACGAATCCGCGAAAATGTTTGCAATGGAAGATACGAGCTGTTTTAAAATGATTTTATTAATAAAATGTAAAATATAGTACGTAATATAGTAGTATGTATATAGTGTTTTTATGTCGTAAATCGCGTTATATATGAATATACAAATTATGAAGTTGATAATGTCGATTAATTCTCTTTGTACAAATTAATAGTTAACTCGTTCGATTAAAATATATTAGGTGTATTTTAGTTTTCAGAAACATTCCATGCTTAATAATTACACAAATTAAATATATACGAATATATAATACAGAAAGAAAAAATAATTCTTATAGTTGGTTAATTAATAAAAATTTGTTTATATTAAATGTATGTTTTATTTTAGCTTTTTTCTCCAATATTTATGTAAGTAACAATGAAAATGACTTATGGACTATCCATACTGATTATGATAATAATAGCTATAATAATATGATAATAAAATAATAATTATATTTCTTGTACAGCTATACCCACTGCCTTTAGTAATGATACTTACAATAAACAGTATTCTTTTTTTTTGTATACATACATCATTTATTCAAATAAATTTGAGTGTATTTAAGATCGATCAATAAATCAGACGACTCGATCCCAAAAAATTATTTTTGCTGTACTTTCGTCGTGCAATTTATGATAATACAAAATATGTCTGTCAGTTACGATCAACACAAAGAAGAAGATTGCACAGTCTTCTTACAAAAGGATAATCAGTTTAGTAAATAAAACGAATTAAATACTATACAAATTAAGTTACACTAACTTATCAGAATTATAAAAATATTGGTTGATTCTAGAAATGCTTCCCTTCTGCGAACCACCGAAAATTAAATGCACACAATATCGTTCGTTCATCGATCGTGTATAAGAACTTTAACTTTACGATATGCAAACTGATATTTGTTGTATATAGTGTATTTCTTTCAACTGGAAACACAGTAATATCTCGCACACCATTGAATATACGAACAAACTTTTTATAAGAGTTATTTTATATGAAGGGGCGCATTATACGCCGTAAATAGTTCTTTTGTGTATGAAATTGTAAGACTGACTTCAAGGTCAACTTCATTTTCTTAAACGTAACACTATACATCTTCATTCATAATACGATAGCGTTTGTTAAGACGAGTTCAATGGTATGTCACGTAAGGTCATTCAATGTAGTAAAAGCTTATATACCAGTGAGATTCAAAGGAGTCAGATCAACGTGAATCGCAGGTAGTGTACTAACAAATCCTACATAACTGTGCTACCAAGTGACATCAGACCCGTGAATCGCACTGATCTGATTATTTAACATCTCACTAATTTACAACCTCTTACTAAATTAAATGACCATACGTGGCACACCATTGAGCTCGTTATAACAAACGCTACCATATCATGAATGAAAATGTAAGGTATTCTATTTAAAAAAAAAAATCTTGAAATCTCTTTTACAATTTCATATATAAAAAAAACTATTTACATCACACAATGTCCCTCTCCATACCAAACAACTCACGTAATAATAATAATATTTTCCCATCTTCAACGATCTACTAAATAGATATTCATGCGTTTCCAGTTAAGAAAAATACGCTGTACGTGTATAACAATACTATAAAGATTTGCCTATGTCAAATGATCATTCTTTTTAACTTTTGTAAACGCAAGTCTATCTTTACAGATTTATATATGGTCAGTAAATCAATAAAACGTTTTTCCTTTCGTAAAAATTAAACATGAAATAATTAGTTATGTAATTATAAATGTAGAATTTTACATTTGTCTCGTACAATGTAGCATTTTTGTTCAAATATTAGTCGAATATCATCGGTTAACATATACACTCTCTTTCTGTGTCTCGATCGTCTAGAATAAGTGGAATAAATAGATTCACTTCATATTTGCACGACAATCTTATTCTTTCTTGTGTACGGTAAACTGGTTGTATTTACAGCCCTGCTTTGCAAATTACTCGTTACCTTCCACATTACGTATCTTTTATCTCTCTTTCTCGTCTTCCCTCTCGTTAATATTTATCATCGAAGAAAAATTAACTTCGGCCGAAAACTCGATTGCCTTCTGTCTGGCGAATCCAGTTCGCGCTTTCAAAAATATATTTTTATATTTATATACAGGGTGTCTCAGGTAACTTGATCACTTCGAATAATGACTTAACGGTACACTTTATGAAAATTTTGAAGAGTGGCATAATTAAGGGCATAGTTAAGGTATCACATCTTATAAGATACGTGCATTTTTTGTGGATGGATGCAGATCCACCTACAAAAGAAGCACGTACCTTATAAGATGTGCCCCTTGATGCCATTTAAGTTCCACGCCTCAAAATTTTCATAAAGTGTACCGTTAAGTAATTATTCGAGGTGATCAAGTTAGCTGAGACACTGCATATATATGATATATATATATACATATATGTATATAGATATATATATATGCGCGCGCGCGCGTGTGTGTGTGTATATATAAACTTTTTTATTAATTCTAACTTGCGTCATGGAACTGGATTAGCGACAAAAACATTTTGAATTAGTACGAGTTAAGACAAACTCGTCTACACATTTTTTTCCTTACACGTACGCTATAACGTGTACGCAAAAAAGAAACATCGTATATGTACGAACTTCGTTCGTCAGTCAGCTCAGTGCGTTTTGCAGAATAATTATAATCATACATTAATCTGACCTACGACTTCCTCCAAAGAAGCTGATGGTGTACAAAGTTTCAAATTCGACAGGTCGTCAGTAAAAGTATCTTTATTCGAAGATACAGAGAAAGATCTCATTCTTTTATCTTTGCAACACCACTACTAGGCAACGATAACCACCATCAACGAAATTTTTCTTTACATGATACCAATTGGACTATGAGATTACAGAATTCAATCGGCAAGTACGCCTTGCCTTGCACGACCTCTAGCCTGCTGGTGATTAAATCGGAAGTACCGCCCAGGTTGATTCGGGGCGGTATGCTGCTGCTAATGCTGTTGTTGTTGCTGCTGTTGCTGTTGTTGTTGCTGTTGTTGTTGCTGTTGTTGTTGCTGCTGCTGTTGATGATGAAGTATAGCCATTGCACCAGTTTCGGCTGCAGTCGGAAGAACAACAGTAGACTGTTCGCTGACGGCTATTTGATGGATCTGAGCCTGAGATCCTTGGCCTACTTGTATTTGTATTTGTTGCAATTCGGATACCGATGATTGTTGCTGTAATTGGTCTGCCTGCTGTTGCAACTGCTCAGCCTGCTGTTGTAACTGTTCAGCCTGCTGTTGCAACTGTTCAGCCTGCTGTTGTTGTTCTGTTTGCTGTTGGGGATTCTGGGAAGCATCAGTCGTATTTAAAGGATCCTCTTTAATACGTTTCGCCAAATGAGACCTGGCATGCTTCCTCAAATGGTCCTTGCGGTAAAATGCTTTACCGCATTCGGTACAAACTTCGGTCTTGTGTCCAGAATGTATAACAAAATGAAGATTCAAGTGTTCTTTTCGTTTGAAACCCTTCATGCAAACAGAACAGATAAAAGGCCTATCTGGATTGTGGCCTAATTTATGTCGTTCTAAGTGTTCTTTACGCTTTAAACCTGCACCACAAATGTCACATATGAACCTCCTTTCTATCTTATGCCCGATAAGATGCTGTTCCAAAAGTTCTTTCTCAGGATAAGCCATGTTACACTGTGGACAACAGAATAGTGTTGTACCATCAAGGGCAGTTACTATGCTCACTTGTCCTGGTTTTGGCTTTTTTGGTTTTGGAGGCTTTTTCTTGTATTTCTTTTTCCTCTTGGGTTTTGCTCCAGGCTCCTGTTCCTCGACAACATCAGGAATGATTGCCGTTTCCCCGCCAGCGACTGTAATCTGTACAGCTTGTTCTCCTGATGTAGCATTTCCAGACACATCTAAACCATCAGCCCCTAAAGGACTTGATTCAATAGTGGCTTCTCTTTTTATTGTCTCCGCCGAAAATTTTAGGAAGTGCTGTAAACTAATAGGCAAGGTACTGGCAGGCAACCTGGATAGATAATCTGCGACAGTTGATCCTGGAGTTGCAAGGCTCTGCCAACTAGCGGGCATAGAAGTAATAAATTCTTCTCCACTCTGATTTCCTTGGCTCTTAATGCTACCTCTTTTTATAAGGGCTACCGGTGTTGTTCCCTCCTTTACATCCTCCTTCGATTCTTCCATACCCTCACGTAAAATCAAATCCTGTGGAATTTGTGCTACCACAGTTAAACCTTCTGGTGCACCAGGAAGCTGCACAGTCTGCTGAATAGTCTGTTGGGATGTAGTGGTGACTGCTGTGGATGTGCTTTGGGTAGTTTGATCCGATCTAAAATTGAAAAAAAAAATGATTGTCCAATTTTAAAATGAAATAAGATACATGCTAGATCATTATCAACTACAGTAATGTCTCACTGTTAATCCATTTATTAGACCACTCTGTTAAGCTATCATTATTCTTCCAATGTTTTTTAGAAATTCTTTTTATTTTGAAAGAGTCATGCTCTAATGAAAAATAATACTTTAATAATCTTTTATTTACTTGTATGAAAGCATTTATAATATACTGGATAGATTTTCCAAGCGAAAATTAGTAATATACGCTACTTAATATAATTTATTAGTAATACACTAAACATCTTGGATATCACCAATAACCATTTGATAACTTGCTAGTTGCGCCCTGTGGGTCATGTGTTACCTTTATGTACGAAAATGAGTTAAAACGCTTGCGTCAAATAAATGGAAGTACACGATAAGTTTTCAGTTCTATTAGTGCTGTAATAGTGATGCAAAGTAACAAGTGTACTGTAAAGTTTTTAAATAATTTTATTTTGTAATAAGATATACTTTCGGATGTACTATAATTATTGAAACATGTCAGTTTAGAAAGGCACAGTTAGTAAGACACATAAAATTGGTCTGTACTCGACGGTTTAACTTCAGTGTTGCCCACATAAAATCATGTTTGGTGTCAAGTTTATCGATAACAAGTACAAATAGATTTCATAAAAAATAGAATAAAGTGTAGTTTTTCTAGCGAATGACTCATCCAACTTGTTCACCTTCTTGAGTGCCAGTGACCGGCACCAAGTGGGTTGAGAGTGACTCACATTTTCTCTGTCATTCTTGGCATATCCTGTACTAGTAACTGATTCAAGTACATAAGTACTCTGAACTACTCGGAAACTATTACTCTATATAGGGTATCCAATAAATCATGGTACAATAAACAAAATATACAAACTGTTTTAATTGATTACACTACTGGCAAGAAAAATTACCTAAATCATAAGACTGCCCGATTTACTACAAACACGTAATACATTTTAGGTGCATAGAGTAAGCAACTGTTACGACAGGTTGTCTGTTCTCATAAAATAATTCTACTGTACTTCATGTTGCAGAAGAGTCGTGTTATTATTTAAAAAGTATATTAAATTATATTTACGCTTAGTTAAAACTGCACTATTGAAGGCTTATGTTTAATGTATTTGTGATTCACTAAACACCCTGTTTAGCATGTACTAACACTTTGACTGCTACAGTACTTAATTTGGGTGATGATATTATTAACTTGATAAGGAATGATTTAATTAAATATTTTCATTTAGACCGGTATGCACAGAATGATATAAAATTATGAAAGAAATGAGCTATCAAAATTTGAAGAAACAAAGACAGAAGGAACCCTCTGTTGAATTAAAAATTACAGGTGTTATGCTCTCCTCATCGTTTGTATAATCATAACGTAATAAATTCGAGTTGCTCATATTACTTCAGTGTACCAGAGCACAAAAACTACAGTACTTTTACTGATAATAGAAGAATAATAAACAGTTAAGTTAGTTTTCAGATAGTTGAAATAAATTTTTGATACACTTTCAATGGTAAGAATTTGAATACATATAATGAAATATCATTACTCCAATATAATAAACGTATTGAAAACAGAGTTATCTGAAATTTATATTAATTTTACACGAGATTCTGGAAAGGAATTCAAGCATAATTGTACTTTAGTTTATGTAGTACTTCCCTGTCTACCACGTTTTTCTATCAAGGGAACACAAGCTTTACAGCTTTGTACAACATGCAAGCTATTTATATACTGTCACTTCTTTCACTAATGAAGGAATATACCCATAATCGTCTAGCATTAAGTTCATCTCATGGTTAATGCTATTTTGTGACGAGATACAGGTTCTACACATAGATGTACAACTACATTCCATTATCCTTCCCTTATACAAAATATTTTGTAATTTCACTCCATACAGTTTTATGATTCTGGATCTCATAGGGATCTTGCCAGAAATAAACTAAGCAGTCAAAGTGTCATACTTGGTGTATGAGGTGTAAAGACCCGAGTTCTGACCAGGTTCAGTATGAGGCCCTTTTGAATCTTTCCTCACCAATAGGTGTCGGCCTCAAGGGATTAATATCGTATCGTATCGTATCGTATCGTATCGTATCGTATCGTATCGTATCGCACTCTGGTTGCAACGCCGCCATAACTCAAAGAAATATGAATTTCTAGTTTTATGTGTAGCAAGATTGTAAATACAGACTTCTGTATGGTGCATCATTGGCACAACGGTACTTTCTATCTTCCTCCAATAGAGGATAGTTCATAGGTATTTGTTTTGTAAAATTATACATTTTTGACATATGGCAGTATTGCAATCGGGACCGGATATGTTAATTATATCCTATCTAACGAATTATAATGGCCGTTTGAAACGAAAACGGCAGCCCTTACGTTTGCGTTGTGGCCACGGTGTTCTGTGGCTGTACTTGAATCTGCACCCCATCCGCGCCTTGTTGACTGTACGCGACAGTGAGCACTGTCGCGGCACCCTGGGGGAACTGTCCCAACGAAATCGGGGCCAAGTGATATTTCGGCTGGTCACCGCTGTTCCCGCTCTGCGACACGCTGGGATTGACCACCTGGATTTGAACGGTTTGCTGCTGCTGCGTGCCATCTTTTCCGGGTACGGTGATGGGCAGCGTGATAATCTGCTGCTGCTGGTTGTTACCCCCTTGAGCCACGGCGAAACCGTTCGGATCGACCGGCCTCAGATAATGAACACCACCTTCGCCGCCCGATAAGACGCCGACCACCTGTCCCCCAGTTGGCAGATTCTGGGCGAACTTAGCGGTCGCGAACTGGTGAACCGTGCCCGTCGGTAGCGAGCCTGCCGGAAAGCCGGGAAAGGGTGTGAAATTCATCTTCCACGATAATTAAATCTGAAAACCAAACAGAAAACCATTTTGTAGAAATATGCGCCGAAGGGGAGATTTTTTCTTTTGTATTGTTATTAACACTAGAACTACCAAACAAGTCAAAATGACTTGTCAATACACTCTTACAACGACGATTAAAATGTTGTGACAATATATTTTCTCAGATCTTTTGTACCTTTTATTGCGATATGAAAGTGAAGAAATTAGTCAATTTCTAAATTTTCAAAAGTTTTTCACGTTTATCCACCGATCAAAGCAAATATGCGTTTATTCGTCGATAGTTCTAGAGTTAAATAAGTAACATTTTGTTCGTAAACTGAACAAGATAAAAAATTATTTCAACAACAACAACAACTAAAAAGAAACAGAACGTACAGCGTCGTTAGGAGTATATAAATTAATTACCCTTAACGAATGTGCGAATAACAAACAGCAAATAATAATATTCGCAAATTCAAATCATTTCGGTGCGCTTATGAAAGGATTAGTGAATATACTTCAAACGAAACGTGTTTACGAATGCCACGAAAGAAACAAAAGTAGGATACTGAATAGTTGGATAGTAAGTATACACAGTATATGTATATACGTATTACACAGTTGCACTCACTTTGACGCATGAGTGCTGGCTATCGAAGTGCATCGACCTTCGTAACTTCGAACCGTTTCAACACAGAATCCGTGTTTCATAGAACTCACAGTTACTCTCTAATCCATTAATATGTATAATCTTCGGCGGACATTGTGCTCGAAGTAAAGCAAGTTCACGACGTTTATACACGATCATGTTTGCTAAATACGAAAAATATATTGTGAATGAATATTTGTTAATTAATACCACAATAGATTTTGGACATTTATGAACTTATGGGCGTACAAGTAAAATTCAAGGGTATAATCTAATAACTGCATAATATAATTTAATACTAAATTCTGAACTCTTAAATACTTTTTTCTGGCTTTCATTTACGACCGAATTTATTGTATTAACCGTTTCCGACCGTAAGATTCCATTTGGAATCATTAATCTACTTAGCAGTTGTAGCCCATAAAATGAGCTTGAAGATACAATATTCAATGCTTTATCAGCATTTTTAAAACAAATCATAATAAATACAACCACTATAAATATTAAGTTACAAAAAAAATATATACAAATAACGTAAGAAAAGCAACAAAAACTGTGCAACGTCGCGGTATGTACTATATTAACGCGTTCACTTAAAAAACAATTGAACGCTCAAAAGTACAAACGTACCGCGATGTTGTATAACTGCTGCTGACTTTTTATACCCTTATTTGTACCTTTTTTGTAACATTTCAGGATTCATTCTAGTAAAACATATTTAAAAAATGTTAATTTCATTTTAAAAAAAGATGACATCCATATCGCTGAAAAACTATGCAAATAAAGAAACTCTGTCAAACTTTGGCCTAACACAATTTTCTGTAAAGTTCAAGGAAAATCCTGAAATTTCGTGGCGACACTTACGTGGGACACCCTCTATAATAACACGAGCATTCTATACATGGTAAAGCATTTACATAGTGTCCTTAGATATATCCAGTATTTATATACACATGAACAAGAATGTTTGAGCCATAATAAAATTCATCGATGGGGTAAATAAAATCATTACAAAAATATTCCCGTCATGGTAATTTTCTTCTTTCTTTAAACGGAATCGTATATTATTTTGTACACCCTTACTGAGGATGAAAAAATCAGCAACAACGTACTGTAGACTAATACAATGGTCATGTGATCTAAACAAATTTTAGTATGACGATAATTAATATTCCTTAAAGTTATGTTAGAGTACGAATGTATGTATAGTGCCTTAACGAGATATTAACTTCGGCTTAAAAGATAGAAGAAAATATATCAATTCATAAAAAAGCCACGTAACCCAGAAGACCTTGAAATTTCAGGAAAAAAATGATCTAGAGAGAATTATTCTTTCGATCGGTATATTCATCCCTTAAAACAATTTATCTTTGTCCTAAACAATTTGTTCACGTCTACTAACAACGAAAATATTTGGGTGTCCTCAGTCGAATGCTCCACACGTTGCGTATGTATTCGTTCGCCCCTCTAATAGTATTTAGTATATCCTACACGTGGCGAGAAAGTTCATGTATAATTGCCGTGGGAAAATACGTGCTCCAAAAGCCTACCGTACGTCTTCAAACAGGAGACTCCCGACTCTCCCCCCTTCCCCACACGTAAATACATAGTTTTCCATGTGCTGACTGCTACGCCATATATCATAATAAATACGTCAAGATCAAGGTTGACCTCGTCGGCACATCAGCCTTCCATTTGCTCAGAAGATACAAGTGTCGGTACTTGTACCGGCTTTCCCCACCCCTCCACGCAACCACCGCCGCCACCATCACCCCTTATCCTCTCCGTCGATGAAACGGTTCACTCTCTGTCGCAGCAAAGGCGCTTATTCGCGAAAGCGATGAAGTTTAAGCTCGAGCCACCACCGCCGCCGTCGTCTTGCCATCTCTACCGTCCAAGTCTTAACTTCAGACCTCTTGACCATGTGTTGGTATGTGGGCGTGGGGGGTGAGGGATCCCCCACTTCACCCCCTCCCCCACCTCAAAGGGATCCGGGAGCAGGGAGGATAGTCGTCGAAGTGGCCCAGGATTGCACCCCACTCCACTATGATGGTGTCCCCACGGGGGTAGGAACACGATGAGGGTAGGGGGGAACCCATAGGTGGGAAAACGGGAACCCACCGCGAAATATACCCAGAGACTGGTTCTATTTCTCTCGCACCAACAGCAGCACACGGAACACCGCGAGAATAGGACGGGAAGGAACGATAGTTCGGTGTGTAGGTGCGTAAGCGTGTGCCGTAAGCTCGATGGGGTAGGGGCATGTCAAGAAAGAAGGGAGACGAACCTCGACATACTGGGAACTCCCCGGAGAGGGGAACGTGAAATATCGGGAGAGAACATACGAAGCAGACATCGTGGCAGACGAAGTGGGACACACCGATGACTCTCGCCCTTGATCCACCCGTGGTAGGGAAGGAACAGAAAACGGGGGAGAGAGAGAATGAAAGAGAGAGGTTAGGTTACCCGTGCACTTCTCCTCCTTTCGACGCACCGAGGAGGGTGCCGTGTCGAACGGACGATTACTCCGCGGCTGCAAGTCGTTGCGGGTGGTTGCACGACTTAACAGAAAAAACTGCCGGAACTCGAACACCCATAAACAAACATACACCGCGGATGTGTTTTTCGACTTTCGCGGAATGGCGTGTACGACTGACCGGTCAGCCTCGCCGACGTACCGTTGCAAGACGCGCATGTCGTAATGGCGCCGATTCTCTCAAGGTTCAACACATCCCACTCTCTCGCTCTCTCTTCCTCTCATATGTACACTCTATATGATTGTCTCTATCGCGTACACGCATCGAAGATAGCATGTCTGGACAACATTCGCGGTTTCTACAGAAATTCTATCCAGATGTCTCGCATAACTGCACAGGCTTGGCTCTGATATCACGCGGGCAGCGTACGCACAACGGAATAGCTCTGGGGCATTGTGCAATCACGTATTTTTTACACGTACACAGCACATAAAAAAAAATAAACGTGATGAGATAGAATAAAGCGTTTCGAAAGATTATTATAATTTTTATCCTGAATGGGACTATATAACGCTGAACGAGTACGGGGTTAAAAAAAGCGACATTGTGGTTTACATAAACACGGATGCGCTAGCGTATAGAAGACTCGAGTGCAGGCGAGGTTACCCACGTCAGCAGGTTTGGTGATGCATCAGCCATGATGAGAATCAAGTATGGAGACGCGAGAAAATAGCACAGGTCCGAGACGCTGGTGCTTTGTTCTCTCAATTCCCTCTCTCCCTTTTGCCCTGCTCCCTCCCTTCCTTTGGTGCTCTTTCGATCGCACATCGGGAGACGTTACATGGAGAGGAAGTAGGGAAAAGATCGGGCGAGTTGGCAGAGGCGAGAGCAGGGCAGAGGCGAAACAGAGGACAGAGTAGAGCCAACAGAGGCACAGGCAGGGCTGTTGTTTACACCCCCACCTCGACGGGTTAGAGGCAGCGAGATGCCACGGAGGGGCCTCCGAGACCTCGGCGGGCACCCACCACCACGCAATTTCCAACCCCACCAGCCTCTCAACCACTGTCCGCACCTCCAACCACCCCACCAAAGCCAGCCCGAGCCAAGCCGTGAGCCACGACGAGGGCCCCGCGACGATTTTAGTGTCTTGGGGTGGGTGCTCTGTGGCCACTGTTTCGCGGTTCTCGTGTGCACGTTTCGCATTAGGAGTAAAGCGCGTAAGAAAACGCGGGGCGGCCCCCGTTCGTGGAATCCGTCAGGTCGCGCCAGTTTAATCGTTCGGACGATAGGTGCACGCGAGTTCCCTACGTACAAGATAATCATCATCCACGAGGAAATGCGTGTCCTACTTACCCACGCGCAACTGTGACTCCCTTGTGCACTCCTTTCAACGTACTGCTACGTCTGATGAACGTTGTGTCGGAACACCTTCACGTAGTACAGCGACTGTCCGCCTGGCTGGCTCGTCTGCGTCGTTCTCAATCTTCACCGCGGCGGCAGCAACTTTCTCATTTCTACGTACACGTTCGCCGTGCCACGGCTCTTTTGGCTAGCCGCGACTAGTGCTTACGGCGCACACGTCATACGAGACGTACATTGAAACGAACGGGTCTTTGGCAATGGACGAGCTGTGACTCGTGATAAATTCACGCACTACTGGCAGCTTTTCTGCGGTAACGGCAAGCCGCGACGCGCACTCATTTCCGGGTTTACGACAGTCGAGTTCGATCGAGTATGGCCCCGGTCGGTAGGTAAGCGTGGGTCTTGAGCCGACCAACGGGGAATGAATTCGAGCTAACGGTACATAGCCACCCGACGGTGGTCACACGTTAACTCGAAGCGCCGCGATGCCAGGCCACTCTCCTGAAAACCACGAGCTGTGAAAGTAGACACCCTCCTTCTTCCTACGGATCCCAGGTTTATCTTGAATGACCTCGTCTCACGTGCTTGTAGGACGCATTCTTGTTTTTCAGTCAATAAATAAAAATACTTTTAACCGCGAAAACTTATGCCACTATTAATATTCTATCGGAGAAATATCAACTATGGCGGCGTTTACACGCGAGTATATTGTGAGAGCGAGGGGAAAGCCGCGCTTGCGCGCTTGTCGATTAAACAGTCAATTCTTATCCTGTCCGTTGTATTCACAGGTACGACAGAAATCTCTCTAGTTTTACCAGAATCACTAACATTTGAAAAAATTTTTATATCAGCGTAAAGAAACACCTGTCTGTTGCTTTATCTTACTCCCAGACACTTCGTCACTTCCGTCGACACTAACTCTGTGCGCACCTAGCGGAGACTGAAGTGAGGTTAGGTCGAGAATCGATATAGCGAGACTAGTTTGGTAATCGTCATGTTTCGATATATTGCGCGCTCAATATGAATTGCTTACTGGGTGCTGATGACAGAGAAACCTAGCCTTTATTCCTTCTATTCCTTTTTTAACAAGTAATACATATTATCATCTAATATAAAAACAATAAAGGCAAATGAAATAAATTAAACGTACTTCCTTTATTTTGCAGTCTCTGTTCCGGTAAAGATCAATTATTTTACACAGTTTACAATTTCAGAATACTTTGCAATGTGGTACATGTTTCAAATAAAACGTATGCATTTATATATCGATATAATGTTTGTATATCGTTATAATAATGTAATATAAATTATCAGTAACTATTAAAATTATAAATTCATTAACCTTCACTTTTCTATAGCCGGATCACCGGCGACCCATCGAAAACCATAGTCATCGTACTGTTTATATGACAGACGAAGCGAACATTTCGAAATGTTGCTATGGGTCACAATTAACCCAGCCGTTTTTTTTTTACGGTTCGTACTCCAAGGAATAATTGTAATTATACATAGTTTTAATCTACATCTCTCTGGTTGAGCTCTTAGTTCACACAAGATTTTAAATATATATTTTTCGTGTTTGCATATACAAATTAGTTACATAATTACATTCATATAATAAATAACTACATTCCTGTCGTCACTAAAGATTTCCCAAATGACATACCTGCCAAGATGCTAAATGATTTAGTACTAATAAAAATACATTGAAAAGGAATGAAGAAATGACAATGTAAAAAAAGCTTTATAATTAATAATTATAATCTGAAAATATGGATATCAAAATGTATCAGATGTTCTTTGTGTACGTTCCATGTATAAGGAGAATAATAACTTATTACTTTCATAATAAAATGGATTTTCATTAGCATCCATATCTGGTTTATATTCAGTTGTATAGCTACTTTGGCTAGAACCACATCCTTCGTACAAAGGTGATCCTTGTGAAAGGTCCGAATAATTCGGTGATGGTAAAAAGTTTTTGTTGCTCCAATCTGTGTCCATGGTTTCATTGACATTGTCTTGCATACCCGATAAGTTATTAATGTGCAGGTTGTTAATTCTTTTGCTTAATGGCATAAATTCACTAAATTCCTCTTCTGCATTACGCCCTCGTTTCCTAAATTGTATAAATACATATCAATTAAAACACAACATTACCATCTATATACTAAGAAGAAGTAAAAGAGTTATGTCATTCCAAAATATATAAACAAAAACTAACCTGTTATCACGAGTCATCATTGAATTAGCTTGATCTTCCAGCAGGAAGTTTCACTGTGAATATATTTTTAACCAGTTCATATTATGATATTCGTATTAGTTTTTAAATAATTAACGTAGCACACCATGCAAACTACGAACATACACGTCTGTCAAGAAAACAAAGCTCGTTAGGCGAATTGGCAATATACTTTGATATTCTCACGCAATAATAGTTCTCTCGTCAATTGTAGAGTGCGTTAGTGATATGTTTCGGAGGAAATGTAGATCGCATTGAATGTTGCAACGTTGTATAATTCTTATTTATAATGACGGTACAAGATAAAAATAGGAGAAATAAAAAAAAATTATTATTAAAGCATTTAAAAAATTTAGTAAAAAAAAATTTTTATTTGCTTTCACGTGATTACATTCGTTTGTCAAAAACGTTACATATTTTTGACGTTATTAATTTTATTTCATGATAAACGAAGAAGATTATTTGTATGTTTATGATTGTAGTTGCAATGTGTAGTAATGTATGAATCATTGTACTGAAATTTTTTAAAGTAAAACAGAAGTTGTAAAGTGAAACGAAAAACAGTAGAAATCTTAGATCAGGATGTATCAATAAAATTTTACTTTTCCATTATACACCTAATCATGATTCATTTCTCTGTGAACGAGATTTATAATTTCCTAGAATCTTACGCACTTTACTGACAATTGTTATTACTTGCTATTACTAGTATTTTGTGACTCATAGTACAATCATGTATCATTCAGTTACTCTTCGAAAGTAGCATACGCATATATACATACATTTAATGCGCATGAAATGGTGTTATAGAATATTCTTGATAAAGGTGACTTCTATTTTTTATTTACATGTAAATATTACCGTAATTTATTACTGAAAATCACAATAGTGTTTTATATTTCAATTGTTTTAGGGTTTTAACTACTTTCGTGAATCATAGCGTAATTTACAGAATTGGGGTGATGGAATGAAAATATAGACTCCGTATTTCTTTTAACAATACAAACAAACTGATGATCAATAATCTTCATTTTTACTTACAATGTGAATTCAAAGTTTCACTTGATTGTGTTTCTACATTAACATTTTTAAAACGTCGAATAAATCCAAATTAAGAAACTTTTTCATACAATTTGGTTAATTTTGAAATTTACTGACATAACTGTTATTTATTAGCATCGGCAATTTAATATACAGAATCATATTTACTGTTAAATATAACAAGATAATTGAATAATGCTATGAACCAGTTTTTATTTTTGAATTTACCGCGTACATTCTTCTATAGTTTTTCGCTCGCTTTGAATTATATTATCATACTGTGTAATTCAAATGTAAAGATATATTACAAGCGAAAAGTATGTAGATAATATATAAATTCATACAAACACCTTATGTAAGGAATTATAGCAATTTAAGAACACTACACGGCGTATATACATACAGGGTGTCCTATTTGCATCTTAACACGCAAATTATTTCTCGGACTTTTCGTTATTCTAAAAAATGTCTCAAATAGAAATTATTTTTTTTCTAGGAGGACATTTTATAATGGTTACATATCTTATCTAGATGAACATGCCTTTGCGATTTCAAAGTGACCTTTGTGTTTGTAAATGGACTTATATGTTTTCCTTTAGTTAGACGTATAGCCCCTTCCGTGACAAATTCATTAACCTATAATATGTTGGTCTTTCAAGGTCATTTAAGGTTATTTATTACCGCTCAAGATTTACAATTGTTCAATGTTCCCAAGATTTTTTTTGTCGAAGAATGTATTTCATCATTCGGTCGTAAACATCTTTTTGGATAACCTTGGAATCTTGGAAGCACGTCTACCTAGACAAGATTTATAACCATCACAAAATGTTCCCCTCGAAACAAAGTAAGTTCTGTTCGAAAAATTTTTTCGAGTAACAAATAATTCAGAAGTTATTGCGCATAAAGGATCAAACGGGGTACAATGTACATTGTATACATATTTTTAATTACACGCAAATATATATATATTTGTATACTATGCATGTGTACAGACATTAACAATATCAAATATGAAGGAATAAAAGTAAATTACATAATATGAGTGTACATTATACAAGATATACGAATACATTTGTCCCATTGTTATATTTATATAAACAAATTCCGTATAAAATCGCAATTCTTTTAGAATCACGAAATTTTTATCACAAAACAATACCAGAAGTATGAATAACAAGAGATACAAACATAGGAATTAGAAAACAACGTTTACACTTATATAATTATTACTTCGTTAGTATGAGTAAATATGCGTTATTGTAACGCATATTTATGAAAATAAAACCCACTGAAATCAATTTAAAAACGAAAAACATTAACTTTAACATTGCCCTATTCTATTTTTAATGATAAATTCGTGGCTCTGCAAAAGTCTTGTCTAGTTAGCTAAGAATGCGCGCGAGATCGTCAAGAAATTACGCGCTTCGAGCCGATCAGCAGATCGGGGCCATTTATAGTAAAAGATTCAAAGCTTTGTACGAACTGTCCATATTTGGCGAATGTATACATGCTCCACTTGTCACGTGGGTGTGAATGCACCCTAGCAGTTGTTGCTCTGACTGAGTCGCTCCAATTACAACGCGATACGCAAGTTGACGAGCTTAATTGATTACAGAAGATTTCCCTGCGTGCCAAGTGAAAGAGGCGAGACGATTTTAGGAAGTTGAGAGCGTTTGTCGTCTGGGAAACGTTTATCGCGTAGGATACCGACATCCGTAGGATAACGAGTGTCTTACCACAGGAAGGGGACACGTATCCTCGTGGACCGTCCGCTGCTTACGTTATCCCCGCTCCACCCATTTCCCAAAAATTTGTCGTCCCATTGTGTTTTTATAGCCGACTGTTTCAATCTTATGAATTACTAAAACTCGAATGAATTTTATGCACAAAGGTTAACTGAACATTTTTTCACTTTTAAATCGTTTCCCTTCTGTTTTATGTTAACTTCATGTATTAACATTTTATTTTTATTGTAAATGTTCCCAGCTTTAATAGTTATTTTTTTCATGTGATTGAAAAAAACTGCGATGAAAAATATGAATGTTAATGCATTCTTTTGTGTACTTGACATTGTTCAGGGCTTAGGGAATTAAATACAGATCAGGCAGGAGAATATATTGTATGTTTAATCGAATTTTCACCTCAGCGTCAATATTTGTGATAATTAATATATTAATTGCTAATCGTCAGAATTTCGTGCGATTAAAACAGTTGGGGATTAGATCAACGATATAAATACTTAAATGAAACAAATGTCTGACAAGTTGTGAGTTGGGTATTAAATGTAAAATATAGGCTCGAATTAAGATTTTGTATGACTCAAGGCTATCAAATTTTTCGGGGGCCCTCTTGATTGAAAAACGGGGGATTTTTTGTAATACAACTCAATAAATTACATAAATCTTAAAAAATTGAAATTTATTTTAAATGGAATTAAATAACATTTAATTATAACGAAATGGAAGGTTCATAACGTGGCCCTCTTGAAACGAGGGGGTCCGGGGCTACAGCTCCCCACCCACCCCCTCTAGCCTCCCTTGATCCGGCGCTATGTAAATGCACAATAATTTAATATTTACAATACGGTCAACATACTAATTTTGTAGAATATAATATTAATTTCGATATTTTTTCGAAATCACGTTGAATTCGAAATCTACGTTTGAGTTCTTTTTATATTTAGACAAAATGGTATTTTTTTGTTATCTTTCAATTATCAGTTATGTTTAAATACTTGTATATTATTTTATTTGATCAAACAATTAATTTTCGTATAAATTGCTTTGCGCGATTTGTAACGAAATAATTTATTACTTTGTATGGTTTATGTACCGGTGCCTCTTGAAATAATGCAGCAAGTGCTTTCGATTTTGAATAAAAAACTGAGGTATTATTATGCACGTACTTACGAATATTCTTTCTTATACACATGCAGTAAGTATGTAGATTTCATCCAACTGTAATTTTTTCTTTCTTCTTTGTAGGATACCTTAACTATTTCCGCTGAGAATTGTGAACGCTTTCTGATTGCATAAACGGGAGCAAAGTTTTTGTTGACTATAATACTGTACTGCTATCATTGGCTCTTCTAAAGCGACTGTTTCCATGTGCCACAGCGTTACACTTACTGCAATACGATCGCTGCTTACACGAAACATTTGAAATCAAAGTAATCCTAAGAGAGATTACACTTAATTATATTATCCTTTCTGTGTCAAACGTGGACGAGGCGCGGTGTACAAAACTGAAAATTACCTATTACTTTATTCGAAACAGTTAACTAAAATGTAATAATAACAATAATCTTTGTTTCAGCCTCACGGATAAGAAATTGACTTGGTTTACATTACCTAAATTTTACATCACTACTCTTACACTCCTCCCATACACTCTGCTCATTCATTCTCCTTACTGACACTATTTTACTAACCTATTTCTATTACTATCACTTACAATTAGTACTACTGTTGACTCTCTACTTGCGTCTTTTTATCCTACTATTACATTGCATCCGTATAAATATATATCTATATCTATATACATGCACGTATTCATATGTATATGTGCCTATATATCTATTTCATTTTCTCTTCTTTCTCATTTCATTTTCGGTATTGCGCACTTGTCTTCTCTTTGGTGTTTCAAATTTCTTATCCTAATTCTGTACTCCTTTACCCCCTCTTTTTTTCCTCTTGCCCAATTTGCTCAGCCATTCTTGTACCTTCTCTTCCTTTCTTCCGCTTGCCACTTCCTCTACATATACTGAGCCTCTTTCTATTTCTTTGCAATCTCTTAACAGATGTTCTAAAGTTCCGAACTTATCTCCGAACGAATCACAATTCCTTCCGTCTTCTTCCTCCCAATATCTATTCCACCTCTCTAGATTCTAAACCAGGGGTTCCCAAAGTATGGCCCGCAAACACTAGAAACGCGACCCGCGATCTTGAATTTATAGAGATAATTTACAGTTTTACAAAAAAATAAGGCGTTATCTATCATCTACATCGGCGTGACTCAGCTGATATCGAATTACTAGATGAAGAGAAATATAATTTTTATACTTTTTATTATATCGTTACAAGATAGTCTCAGTCGGATTACCGA